CTTAAGTTTTGATATATTTACGGTAGGAAATTAACAAAATATCTTCATGGAACATGATCTTTACTTAATGCATCCTTGCTAAATAAAAGTATTAATTTCTTTCAAAGACAATTACTGATATATTTTAAATAAATAAATATTGTGCAAGGGCATGAACTGTGAATGATGAGTTTTCTATGGAATTCTGCTGGCTATTCCAAGCAGGTCTTGGCATGCAGTAAATGTGACATTCCCCATTAAGTAAACACTTGTTTCAGTGGAACTCACTTCTTATGGAAGGTGTGTGAACACGGGCAGATGCCCAGCTCATCTCTGGTCTTGAATTCCTCGAGACACACGGCACAGGGCTGCTGCGATACACAAGAAACAAGCTATTTTAGTCTCCTTTTCTTTTCTACACATAATTCAACTGCTTCAGCAGGACGCTACAGGAATGCCGGCTGTACCTTTGCCAACATTTCTCTATGTTTTGGTTGCAAAATCAAGAATTTCCCCTGAGGTTTTTATGAATCATATGAACACTTTATAACCTAATCGTGCCTCGCTTGTAAAGGAATTTTTAATGCACTGCGAGAGAGATCTGAAATGCAGAACTAGCATCTTTGATTCTGACACTTGTGTTTATAAAAATACTCGCATGATTTAATCTATTGAACCGTGTTTAGTGTGGAATTCAAATAAAATTTATCAGCCAATTTGCACGTCCCTATCCATTTGGCAACATTTCACTAATCATATTTAATAATAAAAAACGACCTAAATTTCACTTTTATTAAATTAAATTAAAAATATCAATTTCAGTTGGGCCCTTATATTTTATGTTTGCTTTTTTATTTAATTTCTTATGACATTTTCCCCTTTAAAAACAATACTTTGATTCTAACGTCATACACATTTTACACCACATAAGTTCAAACCGTCACACCCAGAGAGCTTATGACACTTACTCCCAGCAGGCTCAGCTTCTTTCCTGCGCCTTTCAACACCACCTTTCATGAAAAAAAGAAAAGAAAAGAACAATGTGTTGTTTATAATTTTACAGTAAATCACTTTTAAGTTCAAAAGCTAGTTTCCATGCGCTACTAGCGCCACCGAACGGAACTGCATTTTCGGGAACAGCTCTCCGAACACGCCCCCGTCAGCCATTGGTCGAACAAACAGAAGGCCCCGCCCCCAGACGCATGCTATTGGTCGAGTCAGCATCGTTGTGAGCTCTCAACGGCTCTGAGGAGGACTAGAAAACAAAAAAGTAACGCCACAGGGATACCGTGTTTATCGTTTTAGAGGGACCTACAGCTGTTTAAATATTAAGCTGGGATCAAGTAAAGTATTTTAACTAGGGATGTGCCGATCCGATATTCATATCGGGTATCGGCTCCGATAGTGCCATTTTTCTCGGATCGGGTATCGGTCAGAGAGTGCCGATCCAAATCCGAGATTTTTTTATTTTTTCCGAATTGTGCGAATTATTCTGTGTTACTTCTGAAGCCATACGATAGCTTAATCGTGCTCATAGACTGTATAAAAACAGTTCGTGCTGCACTGTATTTGTTTTGTCCTATCGTATCTATCATATGTTGTTGCCTTATTAAAAAATATGCTATACATTCAAATGAAATGTATTTTAATTTTATAGTATATACTTAAACATATGTATGAATGGATTTTATAATACAAATAGCAATGTGTAACATTTGACCACATTTAGTGCAACACTTTTATTTGTTCCCCACAAAATATAGTTTTTTCACTAAATGTTTGGATTTCTACAATTATTGTGCACTGATTTTTCTAGAATAACTTTTACTGCCGAATTATCCACTAACCTAGTTTATGATAAATTTTGGTCATAGATTATAAATATAGATAGGCCTATATTTTTTCATATTTATTGCTTATTTTATTTTTCTTTATAATGAAGTAGTCTGTATCTAGTAGATCGTGAAAGAATGATTATCAGTTCCACACACAGAGATATATAAATTCTACATTTATTTAAATGGGGGGAAAAAACTTCACTGGTATCGGATTGGTATCGGTATCGGCTAATACCGAACCCTAGGTATCGGAATCGGTATCGGAGGTGAAAAAGGCGGATCGGAGCATACCTAATTTTAACACCGAATAATAACATTTCATCCTTACCAGGAAAAATGTTGTACGCCACTGTGCCACTGTGACTAACTACTGTAAGTAACTGAGAATATACAAGTGTGCTTCATGAGTCATGACTAATTGATTGATTGATTGATTTAATGTTAGGTGTTTACATAGCATTTTCATTGAAAAAGGTAGGTCCCATATTTTATTGTGAGACCCATTAAATATTTTAGATGAATTAGCCTATTATCTGGCATAAAATCGAATGAGCTTGATCAACATTATGAAGGTTAAGTACATCCTTGCACCATTTTGAAAAATACTTTTTTTTTTATTTTTAGGCCCAGGTTTTAGTGCTTTTTGTTTGAAAATATCATCCTGTCTTTCTTGTGTAATATCCATATAAAAGTATCATATCTCACATTTGCTAACATCGGAACTATATATATATATATATATATATATATATATGAGGAGCAAAGTATATCATGAAGGTCATCTGTTAGATTGGATTTCATCAAGACTATATGCTATATTTACATCGAACTGTATTGCTTCAGGCCCACCTCATTGTAGCTGTACTGCTCCCTTGTACCTTGCTGTTTCAATCTGTAAAGAGAAGAGGAAAAAATGAAACACTTCTGCACTTCCTGAGTTTAACTGCAAAACTGCTGTGGGTGGTGCAAAAGAGAGATGTTGTGATTGTGTAATTCATTTCGCTGCAGCATCTCCTTTTTCCATATGCATATAAAACACTTCTACATTATATATACACTCATTTATACTAATAATGTATACTGTGTCAACTCAAAGTCTGATTAAATATGGGATTCAAAACAAATCTGTATGTGAATAGGATGACTGTATTAACTGTCTCAGATATGTCTTCCTATGTCTTTCTACATGTCTTTCCAGGAGTAGAGAGCAACAGAGGACACATCTGATTTGTGTAACAGCAGTTGTGCGGGTGTGGTTCTTGCCTGAACAGATAGCAGCAGAAGATTACACTGAGCATGAAGATGAACATGCCTATGCCCAGTACAATGACGTACACGTTGAGCGGCAGACGGTAGATGTCTTCCTCTGACATATCACAGTCTGAATGCTGCAGCCCTAGACCACAGAGGCAGCCTGCACACAAACACACACTTTAAATCACACACGACGGCTCGAAAATATCGGAGCAGGAAGCACACAGTTCTTTAGTACGCCCATTTTCAGAGAATTCTGTGAAATTAGCTATGTACAAAAATGTAAATTGTGTAATTGCCACCAACAAACCGCCATCTGGCCTTTCAGGAAGCCATATGTGTGTTAAAAAAAATGTACCATTCATACTTTACCGTTTTCTAACCATGTGAAGTTCATCTCTATTCATATTCTCCTGTCAATCAGCATAAAATGCAAGAATCCCCCTCAAGAACGATTCATCTAAGGTGCTTATATAGAGGGGCTTCCACAGAGATTATTGTAAGCTTGTGTCATTCTGATGAGACGGTAAAGTGCGATTTAATGTGTGCCATATGCACGGGATTCAGATCTCAAAACTATTTGGAGAATGTATTATGTACAGTATTATTAATATATTTTGGCATATATTGAAGCAAAGATTACAGTTCTCTACAGCTGAATGTATTTTTATTCTATTATGTTAGGCTGTTAGGATTGGATTTTATTATGTTAGGCTACTGAATGAATATCACTTTTTTTTTTTATTTATGTGTACAGGTTACTCGGAAAATACCATAGTATTACCATGGTACATTTTTGTTAGTGGTTACTGTCAGTTTCCATGTGCAATGCACACAATTTTCTAATTATGGTCCATATTCTTGTTAATGCTTTATTCAGAAGAAGTTTGCTTGCTCAGCAGCTTCCTGTATACATACTAGAGCCCGACCGATATGGGGTTTTTTGGGGCCGATACCGATATTAGGGAGTAAAAAAAGGCCGATACCGATATATCGGCCGATATTCTAATGTATATTTACACACACATATGCATGTATTATTCAAAGGTTTGGGGTCCGTACGATTTTATTTATTTGTAAGGACACATTAGACGGATCAAAAAGATATTTGTAATGTGTTACCTAAGATTTCTATTTCAGATAAATGCTGACTTGGAATGTTATATTCTGCAAGAATCCTGAAAAAAAAAAAAATGTTGTACTTTCCACAAAAATATACCCGAGCAGCAATATCAGCATATTAGAATGATTTCTGAAGGATCATGTGACACTGAAGACTGCTGTAATGATGCTGAAAATTATGCAAGGAATAAATCATGTTTCAAAACACATCCAAATAGAAATGAGTCATTTTAAATTGAAATGATTTTTCACAATATTTCTTTATAACGTTTCTATTGTATTTTTGGATCAAATAAATACAGCCTTGGTAATACTTTTGAGTGGTATATACAGTATATGCACGCATGCATACGTATATGACCCGAAACGAAAGTCTTGATCATATATAAATATGCCAGCTGTTTTATCTGGTTAAAGCAATCAGATTGACACGTATCCTCGACATATGACATATACATAATCAGAAGCCATTTCCGCTAATAATCAGAATGCAGTCCTCGTCTACTCGCTTAGCGTTACTGCTATTGAACATCCGACTCGTTATAGGTCGATCCATGTTACTTTTCATCTCAAAATAAAACTCTAGACATATCAGTTTTCAGAAGAGCAAAAGGCTGACAGCATGCGGGTGGTTAAAAACAGTCTAGGCATAGCACGAATACTTAACGAGCTGCTCTTGACCTTTCCGAATAGTTCCCCTTGACTTCTTCAAACTGGTTTCAACATCCTGAGCAGCAATACCACTTCAGTGACTAATGCTGGTGGGGGAAAAAAACGAACTCAAGTTCAGCTTGGACTTTTCGCAAAGGCCACACTCACCGTTACACCATTGGAATGGTTGCATGTAATCTGAGTCCAAGCACTGCGGCTGCACACTCACTGCTCGTCTGGAGCAGGCAGGCAATGCGGGGGCTGGAGGAGGAGGACACAAGTTCTTCCTGTAGGTCAGACGGGTCTAAAAAGCAGCTCTTCGAATGACAGGGTGTGCTGTCTTGATTATAGTTCAATTATGCCTCCATTCATCCCACTTTTATGATGTCAGCATCGAAGAACAAAAGATTTCAATCACTCTGTGGCTCCGCCGATGTGAATATGCACAAGGTGCTTTGTTACACAGACAAAGGGAGCATATATAATGTGCCCTTGATATTCTTCTCGTCTTTGAGATCCAGTCCGCATGTGGCACTTCGGATGTGATCTCCTCTGTTGTCATACACAGAAGTTAACAAATGTCTTAATAACAAGTCCTGCGGATGGTGGTTTAGCGAGCACTAAACATCCAGAACATACAGCACTCCATCTACAGCCTTTGGCTTCCCTCAAACCCTTACTGCAAAAGACTTCGGCATGTCTCTCAGTCGATTTTTCTAGCTCCTCTTCCTTGACGTCGCTCTCGGTTCTTTTTAGGTAACGTTATATTCCTTTATTTCGAATAAAGCCGTTTAGAGATCGAAGAGAACAGTGTCTTCACCACCATCAAGCCACTGGAGTGTTTATGTGTGCGCCTGTGTGGGGGAGTGTTTTTTCTCTCCACCTAAAACCATCTGTTCCCTCAATCCTTTCATCAAGAAAGTGGACAAAAAACCCAACAGTCCCTTAGCTCATTCAACAAATATCCGAGCCAAAACGCAAGCATCTGGGGGTTAAAGATGTGCTCTAGTCAAGCCAGCCAGTAATGTTCTCCAGGAAGGCGCCTGCGTCTTTCCTGGCCGCACAGTTTCAGTTTGTAAACAGATCTGTGCTCATGTGATCCTGGTTTGCCTCGCAACTCTGTCCTCCAATCCCTCCCTCCCTCTCTCTCTTCCTGAGCGAGGCCCCTCCTCCAATCCTCTGCGCGTCTGCAGTCACAGGATGGCCTCCGCTGCTGCTATATGTCTCACTCAGAGGGATGCAACAGTTTAAAGGGGTCATATGATGTTGCTAAACAGAACCTTATTTTGTGTATTTGGTGTAATGAAATGTGTTTATGCGGTTTAAGGTTAAAAAACACATTATTTTCCACATACTGTACATTATTGTTTCTCCTCTATGCCCTGCCTTTCTGAAACGCGTCGATTTTTACAAAGCTCATCGGTCTGAAAAGCGAGGTGTGCTGTGATTGGCCAGCTATCCAGCGCATTGTGATTGGCCGAATACCTCAAGCTTGTGATGGAAATGTTATGTGGTGATGCCCTGTCAGGCCGGAGCTATGATTCAAAAACATGAAAACCCCTTATAAACGAGGCATTCGTTGCATCCAGTGGGGACATAATTATGGATTATAATGACTTGTGCTGTCTTTTTACGCGTTGCGTTGCATCGCGCCGCGTAAACATAAAACCATGTCTGCATTTGTGATCGGAGAAATGACAAACAACAAGTGCTACTCTACACTGCTCAAAACTCACGTTTGAATCGTCAGTGGCAAACTCTTTAAATATGAAAACGTACTTACAGGCTGTGAGTCAGAACAGACGGGTCTAAAAAGCAGCTCTTCGAATGACAGGGTGTGCTGTCTTGATTATAGTTCAATTATGCCTCCATTCATCCCACTTTTATGATGTCAGCATCGAAGAACAAAAGATTTCAATCACTCTGTGGCTCCGCCGATGTGAATATGCACAAGGTGCTTTGTTACACAGACAAAGGGAGCATAATGTGCCCTTGATATTCTTCTCGTCTTTGAGATCCAGTCCGCATGTGGCACTTCGGATGTGATCTCCTCTGTTGTCATACACAGAAGTTAACAAATGTCTTAATAACAAGTCCTGCGGATGGTGGTTTAGCGAGCACTAAACATCCAGAACATACAGCACTCCATCTACAGCCTTTGGCTTCCCTCAAACCCTTACTGCAAAAGACTTCGGCATGTCTCTCAGTCGATTTTTCTAGCTCCTCTTCCTTGACGTCGCTCTCGGTTCTTTTTAGGTAACGTTATATTCCTTTATTTCGAATAAAGCCGTTTAGAGATCGAAGAGAACAGTGTCTTCACCACCATCAAGCCACTGGAGTGTTTATGTGTGCGCCTGTGTGGGGGAGTGTTTTTTCTCTCCACCTAAAACCATCTGTTCCCTCAATCCTTTCATCAAGAAAGTGGACAAAAAACCCAACAGTCCCTTAGCTCATTCAACAAATATCCGAGCCAAAACGCAAGCATCTGGGGGTTAAAGATGTGCTCTAGTCAAGTAATGTTCTCATGTTCTCCAGGAAGGCGCCTGCGTCTTTCCTGGCCGCACAGTTTCAGTTTGTAAACAGATCTGTGCTCATGGTTTGCCTGTTTGCCTCGCAACTGACCTCCAATCCCTCCCTCCCTTCCTGAGCGAGTCCCCTCCTTCAATCCTCTGCACGACTGCGGTCACAGGATGGCCTCCGCTTGCTCAGAGGGCTGCAACATTTTGAAGGAGCTAAACAGAACCTTATTTTGTGTATTTGGTGTAATGAAATGTGTTTATGCGGTTTAAGGTTAAAAAACACATTATTTTCCACATACTGTACATTATTGTTTCTCCTCTATGCCCTGCCTTTCTGAAACGCGTCGATTTTTACAAAGCTCATCGGTCTGAAAAGCGAGGTGTGCTGTGATTGGCCAGCTATCCAGCGCATTGTGATTGGCCGAATACCTCAAGCTTGTGATGGAAATGTTATGTGGTGTTCGTTGCATCCAGTGGGGACATAATTATGGATTATAATGACTTGTGCTGTCTTTTTACGCGTTGCGTTGCATCGCGCCGCGTAAACATAAAACCATGTCTGCATTTGTGATCGGAGAAATGACAAACAAAAAAACAAAGTAGTTTCGCTTTCACAACGAAACACAGCATCACACAGCGGCGGCGGCGGCGGCCTAGAGTGAGCAGAGGCCGAGGGCTAGAGTGAGGAACGGCCGGAGGACTAGAGTGAGCGGCGACGGGCGGATTCGACGAAGGAGCGGCCGGCGGGTTTGCGGCAACCACATGTGACGACCCCGGGCTGGACTCCGCTTCATCTACGGTGAACGTCGATCCGGTGATCCACAGCGCAAAGGTGATGTATTTCCTCAGCGACCAGCACAGATCAGCTCCAGGCATGACAGCACAGATCAGCTCTAGCGGATATCGTCCTCGTTTGGAAGACCAAACAAAGTAGTTTCTCTTTCACAATGAAGCACACAGCTCCTTCACAACATGGCGGCGGCGGCAACAATATCTTTATGCACCAAGAGCTTGTAGCACTCCAAAGAGAAAGGAAAACTTGAAATCGCATCATATGAGACGTCATGGAGACGTGCTGAAATCACCCAAAATGAAAATTCTGTCATTAATTACTCACCCTCATGTCGTTCCAAACTTGTTAGACCTTTGATAATCTTCAGAACACGAATTAAGATATTTTTGATGAAATCTGAGAGCTTTCTGACCCTTCCATAGACAGCAACACAACTGTAATGTTCCCAGGTCCAGAAACGTAGTAAGGACATCGGTAAAACAGTCCATGTGACTTCAGTGGCTCAACTTCAATTTTGCGAAGCTACGAGAATACTTTTTGTGTGCAAAGAAAACAAAAATAACATAATTTAATCTGTCTATGGGAGGGTCAGAAAGCTCTCAGATTTCATCAAAAAATATCTTAATTCGTGTTCCGAAGATTAACAAAGTTCTAACAAGTTTGGAACAACATGAGGGTGAGTAATTAATGACAGAATTTTCATTTTTGGGTGAACTAAACCTTTAAGTTGAAACTAAAACTGAAATATGTATAAATAAAAGCTAAACAGAAATATTTTGTCACACAAAAATAGGACAAAAGCACATAACAGAATAACTAAAACGTTCAAATTAAACTGAAAACTGAAAATATAATTTTTTTTAAAAGATGAATACATTTTATAATAGTATATAAAACAACACATGCTTATTCAGTGTACTTAAGGTGATTATTAAAATTAACAATTATTTATTTCTTATTTATTTTTGTTAAAATTAAAATCACATTTAAAGCTCTTGGAAAAAGTTATCTTTACATTTTTCAAATATACAGATGTTATTGTTTTACCCATAATAAAATATCCATAATATTTATAATGGCTTTTTAGATGTTTAAAACAGTCATAATTTAAACTATGAATAAAATAATCACATACAATTTCAGTATTTATTGTGCGGAAGTTATTTATAT